TCAATCTCAGAGCGTCGATCCTGGCTGTAGTGTAGACCTGCCCTGAGAGTGAAGAAGTTCCAGCTTGTCTTTAACTAGAAGCACAATACCCAAGAGCAGGAACCCAGTCAATATAGTACCTTTAGAGAAAGATAGTTACAACCTTAACTGAGACAAACCAAAGCTGTGACCTTAACTGTTACAAATTTACTGTCTTTCCATAGTATTAAGATGAAAATTCAAGTGACGCATGACTCCTGTTTTTATTATTCACAGAAGCACCACCCCAGACCTAATAAAACAAATGCTAGAGAAGCCAGTCAACTCACTTCGAGTGTACTGATTTGACTGAGCATTAAAATAAAGTACATCACCAAGCTTTCACCATCTGCCCCTTCTGAGATATCATTAGGAGCTCCCACATAAGTAAATTATTGCTTAAGCACAGGAAAAATACACTGCAGCAACAACAATTAAGCCGGTTTCACAACTATGTTAAAATTGATTTATTCACCCTTGAGGTATGTAGTATTTTAGCTGACTGTAACAAATTATTTTGTTTATCAGTGGCACAATCTGAAACTTGCATGCTATGTAAACGTGTTATCAAAATAACAAATTTAGTGTTCATTATTTCTACACATATAATTTGTAGTCTGTTCACCAAAGAAAGATGACCATGTGAATTAACTATCTAAAATCCATTCCTGTAACCTTCAAATCATTTTCACCAGTAGTTAAGTCACCTTTTAACCCATGGTTATGCTCTCAATTTATTCAATAGAAAAGACTGTTTTGATAAACTTGTTCATAAGTGGACATTTTATATTCATGTCAAAAACGGATAGTTTGACACCCTTTAAATTATCTCTAGTTTGAAACTGGACTACTACTGTCCCCAGTAGTCTCCCTAAACCAATGCCATTAGAGGTCTGACAACTACTATGATGGACAAAAATGTGTTCAGCACCGTTAGAGAGTGACAGATTTCTGTAACAGTGCTAAAAATGGTTTGGTCCATCTACAATAGGAATTAATCCACTATCAGCACTGTTCAGGGACAATAGTTGCTGACGAGGGTCAGAAAACAGTTTAATTTCCTAGAAAGATAGGGTTTTATTTCCCCCCACACTATTAATAGAGATTCAAGGCATGGACTAATCATATTACTTATGTTAAACAATTTTAAGATGGAAGATTTTAAAATTACTACATGGAGTTATTTTGATTACAGAACACTTCCTAACTTTTCAGCATGTAGATTCTATGCCAGGGGTGGGCAAACTTATTGGCCTGAGGGCCACACCGGCGTTGCAAACTATATGGAGGGCCGGGTAGGGAAAGCTGTGCCTCCCCAAACAGCCTGGCCCCCGCCCCTCCCACTTCCTGCCTCCCTCAGAACCCCTGACCCATCCAACCCCCCCTGCTCCTTGTCCCTTGACCACCCCCTTACAGGACCCTCGCCCCTAACCACCCCCCGGTACCCCACCTCCTACTCCCTGTCCCCTGACTGCCCCGACCCTTATCCACACCCCTGCCCCCAGACAGGCCTCCCCTCCCCAGGACTCCCATGCCTATCCAACCCCCCAGCTCCCTGACTGCCCTGACCCCTATCCACACCCCCACCCCTAACCCCCCCTGCTCCCTGTCCTGACCGCCCCAACCCCTATCCACACCCCCGCCCTCTGATAGCCACACCCCCCCACCCCGCAGGATTCCCACACCTATCCAACCCACCCTGTTCCCAGTCCCCTGACCGCCCCCCCCACACACAACCTCCACCCCATCCAACCACCCCTGTCCCCTGGGACCTCCTGCCCCCTTACCACGCTGCTCAGAGCAGCAGGAGCTTGCAGCCACGCCACCTGGCCGGAGCCAGCCACACCGCCCGCGCTGCCCGGCAGGAGCGGCAGGCCAGAGTGCTAGCAGCACGCTGCGGGGGAGGGGCCAGGGACTAGCCTCCCCGTCCAGGAGCTCAAGGGCCAGGCAGGACGGTCCCGCAGGCCGTAGTTTGCCCACCTCTGTTCTACGCACATATGCACTATATTTAAATGCTCATGCTGTCAGTTTAAAAAAAACCACAAAGAAATATATAAAAATAAAACTATTAAGCTGTGACAAAAACAGAAGAAAGAAAATTCATATATCTATGACACAATGTACTAAGATTTCTTCATTCTGTTTACTGCCCATTAGACAGAGGATATGATCAGGTAGTGCAGGCCCAGAATTTGTGAGGATTTTACAATACGCAGTAGTAAAAATGTTTTAATATACTTGAAGAAGTATATTAAAGAGGTTTGGATGTATACACTATACAGCAGTATTTGCAGCACAGACTTTATATTACTATACTAGCGGATAAGAACCAGAAAGTGAAGTTGACTAGTCTAGTTTCATTATTTGGTCTCAAATTCAAGAGTAGACATCAGGAATGCTGAAAAGGAACATTAGATTTATAAAATTTGTTTATCAGATTAGTAGTAAAAGAGCTGACAAGTTTTTTGTTTTTTTTTTAAATAACTACACATTGTTTAACTTGACATTGTTCCTTTTGAAGAAAATGGGCATCTCTCCCATCTCTTCATACAGAGAAAAGAAGTGTCATACCTACTTTAAAAAAAAAATTCTCAAGGTGCTGAGTTGGCCCAGGTTTTCCAACATACCATTGTTTACAGATGATTTTCTTGATTGATTACAACTATACATTCCTTCAGCATAGTTTGAATTGCCTTGTGTACAATGTTAAAGTTACCCACCTCACTGGCAAAAAAAAAAGGTATGAAAGCACAGGATGTGTTTATAATAAACAAGCTTCAATGTAAATATAGAAATTCAACACTAACTTCTTAGGGCTTGTCTACACTGGCAATTTACAGCCCTGCAACTTTCTTGCTTGGGGTCTGAAAAAACACCCCCCGAGCGCAGCAAGTTTCAGAGCTGTAAAGTGCCAGTGTAAACAGTGCGCCAGTGCTGGTAGCTGCGCTCCCAGTGCTGGTAGCTACACCTCTCATGGTGGTGGTTCTCTCCCAGCGCTCTGCCATGACTACACAACCCAAGTTAAAGTGCTGCCACAGCAGCGCTTTAGCATTGCCTGTGTAGACTAGCCCTTAGAGACACAAGGTGGGTGAGGTAATATATTTTGTTGGAGCAACTTCTGTTGGAGAGAGAGAAACAAGCATTCAAGGTAGAGTGGCCCCTTGTTGTCACCTACTACCCCATACTGAAACCCATAGGTGTATCATCTACTACAACTCATACTCAAGGGGGACCCCATCCTGAAAGAAATTGTTTCTGAACCCCCTCTTCTGGCCTTTAAACCACCCCCCAACCTTTCCAAGCTCAGCATCAGAGCCAAGCTCCTGACAGACCAGGACACACCAAATCAAAGCAACATCAGACCCTTCCAGAACAACAGATGCAAAACCTGCAGACATATCTTCACTGCTACAATGATCTAACCCACTCCACCCCCAAACACACCCTTCAAGATCCATGGATCCTACATATGCCTATCACAACATGTGGTATACATCATCCAGTGTACTAAATGCCCCAAAAACCACTATGTGGGTGAAAACAAACAATCACTATAAAGTGAACTCCCACAAGAAAATGATAAAAGATGAAACACCCCATCACTTGTGGGTGAACACTTTTCACAAAGGGGTCAGTCCTCATCCTCAAAAGAAATCCACAGAACACTTTCAGAAGAGAAGCCTGGGAGCTTAAATTCCTAACTCTGCTAGACATGAAAATCATGGACTGACTAGAGACATTGGATTTATGGCTTATTACAACAGTCTGTAACCCACTAACCCCCTCTTTTTGTCACACAGAGGTGTTAACAGGCCAGTATACCTTGAATGGTCCCTAGAATATGTGCTAACTACTTATGCTAAACAACCTGTTCCACCTTGCATTTAGCTGTCAAGCTCAGAGTATCATTCCCAGACCTGAAGAAGAGCTGTGTGCTCAAAAGCATGTCTCTCTCACCAACAAAAGCTGTTCCAATAAAAGCTATTACCTCACCCACCTTGTCTCTCTAATATCATGGGACGAACACTGCTACACATCTACATTTAATTTCGTAGGTTTTTTTGCTCCTGAGAAGTAAATCTTACAAGCAGTCTCTGCCCCCAAGAGATTACGTTTAAACTTTTAAAGGCTACATAAGTAGTGCTGATACCTGAAGTCTCTTACACGCCAATTATCCTGAGGTTAAGATTTGTAGTGTTAAGAACAGAAGAGGTAATTTGCACCATGAAATAAGCAAATCTTCCATGTGTTTTCCAGCTGTTAAAGCTAGAATGAAGTCAATAAGACACCATCAACTTTCACTTCGACCCACCTTCCATTAGGACAGATTGAGAAACAAGGTACTACATACCTACACTAAGTTAAACGCAAACAGAGACGGTTAGTTCCAGTTCCACTCAGAATTTCAACTATTTCACGAAAGCTTATGCTCCCAATACCTCTGTTAGTCTTAAAGGTGCCACAGGACCCTCTAACTATTTCACAGACGCCCCTTTACATTTCAGTCAGAGCTCAGTGAGCAGGAGTGTTAACAGCCAGGACTGTAGCTGCAAGGCCAGGAAGGGGGAGAGAGCAGGGTCTGCAAGAACCTTTCACATGTGGGCGTCCCAAAACAGCACTCGGCTATTTTAAAGCACGCAGCCCACGGGCGGGCGGCTGGTTGAGATAAGCAGCATGAGCTGTAGCTTGCACTTTGGAACAGCGCGCCCCCCCCCCCCCGCCGCCGCATGGATACGCGCACGCCCTGCCAGCCCACCCATCCCCACACCAGCCTCACAGCGAGCAACCTGCCAGCCAGAGACAGCCGAGGGGGAGCACACGGAGCGCGCCTGCTCCCCGCCGGGAAGGGGAGTTTGGGCAGAGCCGGGGCTCCCCCGCCTGAGGGGGGATCGTGCTGCGCTTGGGGGCACGATCCCACCCCAGCTGAAGAGCAGCTGTGGGGGGAGGCGAAGCCGCGCCCGCAGCCCCCGCCGGCTCCTCACCAGGCCCGTAGAACTTGCTGCCTTTGGTCACGTCGAAGACTTTGCCGTTGACGGCCAGTAGGATGCGAGGGGTGCGGGCCCCGTCGTACTCGTGCAGCTGCTCCAGCGTGAAGTCCCGCCGCTTCATGCGGGGCAGGGAGGCGGCCAGGCTCTGCTGGGCCGCGCCCCCCGGGCCGCTCCGCTTCCCCCAGCGCAGGTAGAGCCGATAGGCCGCCAGCAGCACCAGCGCCAGCAGCCCCACGTTCAGCAGCATCTCGCCGCCTACAGCCCAGCCTCCCGCCGCCGCCGCGGGCGGCTCCTCTGCGCCCCCGCCCCCCAGGACACCACCGCTGCTACCCTCAGTTCTTAGTTTCCCATCTCCATCGTCCGCCATCACTACCAGGCCAGCGCCGGCTCCGCCCAATACGGGCATGAGGGAAGAGCGAGGGGGCGAGGCACATTCTGCCACCTCCTCTGCTCGCTCCGATTGGTCACCGGCAGGACACGTCACCCTCACAAGCTCGCGCCAAACTCACGAATAAGACTCAGACACGCCCAGTTGCTTAACCGCCGTGGCTAGAGAATCCTACCCAAGGCGCGAGGACGCGCACGAGACACGCAGCCGGCCAAGGAGGCGCGCGCGCGCGAGAGAGAGACCAGCATTGATCTGTGCGCGAGCTAAACTCGTACAGCTCGCTGGGGCGCGTGCGGGACTCTGAACCACTGCGCGAGCCATAGGGCAATCACAGGAGAGCGCGCGAAACGTCGAATTAATGCGCGAGCCGCAGGCGGGTAATAAACTCGCATCCTCGCACAGAATTTGCCTCCTCCCCTGGACTCTTAAGGTGGCGCCGCGCACCTACTACACTGAGCCCCCTATTTAAGGATGTATTGCAGTCATTCACCCACATCCTCCATTATAATAAAGGTGTAGGGTAGCTTTTCTGCTGTGGATATCGGCTCCCTAGCCCTGGGGTGGCTTGGTGAATCTCCCCTTTACCACTCCAGGGGCTGGGCTAATGCTCCAGATTAGCACCTGCTGAGGGGAGCAGGGCCGCGCAGGGCTTGGGGAGTTTTATATGGCAGCACTAGGTGAGGACTTTGCAAGATGTAGACATATCTATCTCCACTGTTCTGATGATTAACACTGCCCATAAGACACCTTTCAAGATTCATGGATCCGACACATGCCTATCACATGTGGGATACATTGTCCAGTGCACTAAATACACCAATAACAACTATGTGGATTAAACCAGGCAATCACTACCCTCACATGAACTCACGCAGAAAAATGATAAATGACAAAAACACCATATCACCGCTGGGTGAACACTTTTCACAAAGCATTCACAGTATATCTGACCTCTCAGTCCTCATTCTCAAAGGAAACTGCTGCACAATGCCTTCAAAAGACAAGCCTGTCAGCTTAAATTCATAGCTTTGGAGACACTGTATTTATGGTTTATTAAAACAATCTGTAATTCAACCTTCCTTCCCCCCAGATTTTTTTTCCTTCTCCCCCATGCTGGCCACTTCACTTTGAATGGTCCCTTGAAATATGTGTTAATTACTTATGCTAAACTATCCCTGTTTAACCTTGTATTGTGACACTCTGAGTACATTTCCCAGACCTGAAGAAGAGCTCTGTGTAAGCTTGAAAGCTTGTCTCTCTCACCAACAGAATTTGGTCCAATAAAAGATACCTCACCAACTTGTCTTACTGAAGTTAGTGAGTTTTGGATCATGCCTGTTGAGATGGAGGCTCTGATGCTCCTTTCATGAATCAATGGAGTTATACCTTTGCAAGTGATGAGAGCCTTTTCCTGTGGAAAGAACTTCAGTGTCTTTATAAATTCATAAATTAATCTGCATCTATTTTTACAGGATTGAGGAGAATGGTAAATGAAGTGAGAATGCTTTCATAGTAGTTTTACAGGAAGATCTTAATGAGCATCTAAACTACATACATAATAGAATAATACAATATCTTTAATTACATATGTTATTGCTGAGCAGCTTTTTTACTTTGATGATTACTTCATTTTGTAGGCATTCATTAAGCTTTGCAGATTTACTGTTACATTCACACCAAAACATGTCTTTTGTTACTATTTTCCCATTGCTGGGGATGGGTGGACATGAAAGTCCATGACAATCTCTTTCATCTGTGAAAGGCCCTGCCATCCCTGACATGAATAATTTGTAGGGGGCAGGAGAAAACCAGTGTCATAGGGTGGCTAGCTCTTGTAATTGAAGTAGGCCCAGACCAATGCCCCTGTATCAGAACAGGTGCTCTCAGTTGGCCCAATTAAGGGGGTGGAGTTGTACCTGGGGCTATAAAGGGTCAGAGAGTGATCAAGCTATTTAGTCAGAGTTGGTTGAAGAAGCACTGGGTGAGTAAGAAAGTTTGTGAATTAGGGCTTATTTATCAGTTAAGAAAGGCAGTTGAAAGATGATAGAGACCAGGGGAGTGAAGATGACTTTGGTTCCTGAGGGAAGTAGAAGGTGTTTCCTGGAGGAATGCTAAGGGTAAGGATGACAGCAGCAAAAGAGGCTTGTTGGCTAACTTTTGCTAAGCTAGAGACCATAGGTGGGAAATGGCTGGTTGAAAGCAGTTGAAGCAGTAGAGCTAGTTGCCTACTTGTTCTAAACTGGTGAGCCAGGGCTGAAAGCAGGAGAGTAGCAGAGGGGCTTACCCACTGATATCTTTACTATTGGAGAACTGAAGAAGAGTGGGAGAGCCAGGTGGTGTGAGGGATGCTTCCCCTGGTTAAGATAATCTCCCTCTACAGAGGCTGTGGGAATTACACTTTAATGTAGAATTGTACTTCAGTTGGGTGGCTGTCCTGGCAGAGGGACAAAAGAGGACTAAAGAGCAGCTGAGGTGTGGTGGAAGATGCTAGCAAGTGGCCCATCATGGACTGGGATTTTAAGGATTATATACACTCTATGATATGGACTATTTAGGACTCTTAGTTATGGACTGACTTGTACTACCTTGATGATAAACTGGCCCCAAGGAAGGATATTATTGAGACAAAGCTTGTGTGAGTTTATTGGGCAACTCTGAAGGAGGGGAAACTGAGGTAAGTGTGCCTGGCATGCTGAGAACTGCCACAGGAGGGTGCTCCAGTTAAGGCTAGCTTGTTACAAGTAGTATCTCTCCTATTTGTGTCTTTAGATTTTCAAAATCTCTCCTGATAGGTATGTATTTTCTTCTGAGATACAGCTTTCTCTGTTCTAAATTATAGTATGCTACATATATTATAACACTTCCATCACCTTCCTATAAGACTTTGATTTAATCAATGCCTGCTTTGGCTGCATTTACAATAATTCTCTAACATTTTTAAAGAGAGGATACCAGACTTTCTTGGGGGGGTTTCCACCAGCAAATGAGTGTCTTAACTATAACATATGTTCATTCTCAATTCTCATGTATGAGTATGCTGTTTGTGGCAACCCTCTGAAGGTTTAATTAAGTGGAAGCAGGATCAGCCCCTAACTTTGTAAACAGAACTCAAGCACTGATGAATGTGTAATCTATGTAACAGGAAGGTAAGTCTACTTACTCAACAATTCTGTGCTACAGAGTTCCTCTCTGACTTAAAGTATTTGCACAGACCATGAGTTCCTATCTTTGCAAGAGACTATAGTTGGATTTTCTATAGGAAATTTCTGGATACTAAAAGTGGAAATAAGTCACTTTTTTTATTTTTTTTTTTTTTTTTTTTTTTTTTTAGGAATCCAGTACCAGTCTTTACCATCAGTTATGCATGCACACAATTAATAATGTTAAATTCCTTTTTATGAATAACACTACAAGGAAACATTACAGCACAGCAGTTACAATGCACCCTACCTAGACCAACATAGCTAAATAGAGGTTCCCTTCATTGCCTTTTAAAAGAAGAATATAGCACAAGGCCTAAATGTACATATAATACCTTACAAAATAAATACAGGGATGGGATTTCTGACAATCTGAGATCTTTCATGTAGGCTCACCCTGGGTATTGACAATTAAATAAAACTTTTAGTTATACCACATAATCAGTAGTTTCACCATCCATGCTATTGAGCACATAAACCACTTCAAATAAGGAAAAAACCTCAAATTTCTGTAGGTGTTACACTCGCACTCTCGGTTTCAATTATCTAGTACATGTCCTGAACACCTCTGGCCTGCAGTCTTCATTCCTCCTTTATGGTAGTATTCACAAGTCTCAATCTCACTGGTTCCTGTAAAATTACAGGATACTATAGTGAGATCCAACCCATAGCTTTAGTTTGGATTACCCAGTGCAGCTCTATCCTACCTGGCTGGGCTGGATGTGACTGGTGCTCAGAATGGCTGCCAATTCTGTACCCCGATAGAACTCGCTAGTAATTGGCCATGAGCTTCTAACTGAGAGGGGTGTAAAATTCAGGAACGTTTGCCCTTAATGGAGCCTTCCATCAGTGGCAGACTATTGCATGGACCCAGGGGACTCCAGAAAAATATCCCCACAACACAGTCTCAGGGCTGGAAGAGCTCTTGAGGGGGCCACTGCAGAGTCAGAGCTACTCAGCTCTTGGGGTTGTGTGTAAAGGAGGGAGCAGGGGATGGAAATGGGGGGGCTGTAGGTGGAATGGGGGCAGGGCCATGGTTCTGGGGGGCCCCCCACTTGCTTTGGCCTAGGGCCCTAGGAGACCTTTATCCATCTCTACCTTCCACACTAGCTTCAAAACACTTACTGAATGTGGCTAATAACTTCCTGCACTCCCTCTAGTGTGCTGAAATAGCAACTACTTCTTTGCAATCACTGATAGCTCTATACCAGCTGTGGACAAACTTACTGACCCTCCAAGCTGCATACAATAATCTTCAGAAGTTTGAGAGCCACAAGACATGCACAATCTGCCCTGTGGGGCAGTGCCTGCCAGGGTGCAGGGCTTCTGCCCTGATGCCCACCCATTGAAGTCCTTAGACCCCCACCCCCTGCAGGGCAGAAGCCCCTAGTCCCACCAGCCTCCGCAAGGCAGAAACCCCAAGCTCCCTCTGCCCAGTTTTATACCTGGAGAATGGGGGAGTGTATGGAGGGGGGCCCTCTGGGAGCTGCATTTTAACTGTAAAAGAGCTGCATGTGGCTCACAAGCCAGAGTTTGGCCACTCCTCTATACTGCCACCTTGTCTGAGAGCAACTGTAATTACAGCAATAAGTGGTTTTGGCTGAACACCATGAAATAAGAAAAAGAAATGGGGGTCACACATGCAAATATGGTGGATGGAATTTGTTTTCTATTAATTTTATTTGTTCCATGCTTCAAAGTAAAAAATAAAGACCGACCATGTTCTTCTCCTTCTCCCCCCTCCACTCCCATCTTAGCCATACAATCCCTGCAAAGGGTAATACATTATTCCCTCCCTCTTACCACCTCCTGATTCTGTGCTCATTTGTTCTGGCCAGGCTAACAAGAAGGGCTGTGGGCCTCCTGTAT